ATGTGGGGCGTGTTAGAACGAGGCGTTTTAGGTAGGCGTGGCTAACTCTTAACTTTTATAAAGAATATCTCTTTGGATTTGAGACTTTAGTCTTTGCAACTTTACAGATCTTCTTTATGCACCAAGAGCTTGTAACACTCCAAAGAGAAAGGAAAAATTGAAATCGCATCATATGACCCCTTTAATAAAAACTATAATAGTGTCTAGAAGACACTAAAATAATGCTGCTTTACACATGCATGAATGCACATCACTGATTTCCTCACTTCTTGGTGTTGTGGGTGAAGCATCCTTTATTTAAGCATCCTTATTTGTGTGTGTGTGTTTGCTTGATAATTGAGTGTGTGCGTGTGTTTTGCGTAATACACACGTCACAGTCGAGCGCAGAGCTCTCTTTCTCTTACTCTCATCTCTGGTTGGAGATCAGCAGCATCCTTTGAGGAGGACCTTGGAACAGCTTGTTTTAATAATTGACGAGCTGCTGTGAGTGTATCAGGATCCCCTCTAACAAACACACACACACACACACACACAGCTCGTAGCGATGGATCTGATGCAGTTTGCTTTTACACCAGTGAAATTTGAAGAAATCTCTTTACTGTGCTAACAAATTCAGTATATCTGTCCTTGCCTAGTAAACATGACTCCAGCAGTGTTAGACTCACTTCAACACACTTATTATTTAGCATCAATATTCAAAAGATATTTCAAATATAAAAAAGTATATTTTATGATCAGCATTAATCAATATTGAATAGAAAACACGATTTACTGCCCATAAATATTTCGTACTGACCATGTAGTTTCTTTCAATCATTCGTTCGTTTGTGTGATTATTTATTCATTGATTCTTTGATTGATTGATTCATCCATTCATTCTTTTTGTTTATTCATTTTTATTCATTCAAGTATTAATACATTAAAAATAAAATAAATTGACATGCTATTTTAATAAATCAAACTAATCCTAAGTAATTGCATGTATCATTATTTGGTGAGAAAATCTACTGAAAATTAAGATAATTCAAAGTGTTTGTGTCAAATGAGAAAACTATTGAATGAATGCATTTAAAAATGCATTAATTTAATATATTATTTATTTTAGAAACACAAGATCATGTCCCGCATGAACAAAATGTCTTAAATTGACAGCAGTAATTATCTATTTATTAAAAATATATATATTTTCCCCTGATGAGAAAATGTACTCATTTTAATACATTTGTGAATTTTCAAAATGTTAGTAATTTCCTTCATTTTAGACTTTGTGTCAAATGAGGAAGTCATGGAATAGACAAAATGCATTTAAAAGTTAATTTATTAGTTAATTTCTAAACACATGGTCATATCCCACATTAGCGTGGCCTAAATTGACAGCCCTAATTATTAAGAATATATATTTTTATCCCTGATAATGTGGATGAGGCATTATTTCTATGCTAGATAATCCAAGATAAACTTTTGATTGACATTTTCCACTGGCATGAAGTTGTGATGGCTGTTTTCTTAAATAGACACCGTGTATTTTAACTACTGATTTCAGTCGCTCATGTTACCTATATCAGCGAGGTTAAGATTATCGTTCATGCACCTTGATTTAAATCATATATTATGTTGCAATTCCAGATAAATGGTGAATAACTTCTTGAAACCGTCACTGTTTGTTCTGAAAAGGTTGTCTTGTGTGGATTAGTGATTTATTTGTGGTGGTTTTAGGGCCCGACGCAGTGGCACGTTCAGATCATCATGGAGAAGCTGCTGAGGACGGTAAACAGGACGGTGATCTCCATGGGCCGAGACTCTCCTCTCATAGTAAGCGTTTCTCTCGGTCACAGGGATGTTCCTCTGGGATGTGCTGAGTTTTCGGTTTTCGTGTGTCTGTGGTTAGTAACAGTGTGTTCTACCACAGCAGTGCGATCGGGTTGCTGTCTGCAATCCTCAGATGGCTCCACAAACACACACACGCTCACAGCCAGGCTTTGTTCAGACAGGCAGCAAAAATCCCCCCACATTTTTTTGGTATATCCAACTCAAATCCTCGTCGTTTTTGTGGTCTGGACAGAAAAATAACACATTGAAGCACACTTTAACACATTTCTGTGAATAATGTCTGTTTTCAAACAGGTTTCCCATACACTCTCTCCCTCATTGGTTGGCAAACTCCCAGCCCCGCCCCCGAACTCACACCATTGATTGAGCCAGTGCATTTGTGTGCGGTGTAAATATTTCTCAGTGTTTTGATCACTGTTGGTTTGTTAGTGTTGATTTGATTTTGAGCAGATGGTGGGAATGTGCAGCATCTTTTGGCACTGCGTTTACAGCTCCTGTGATTACAGAAGCACACATTGCTTTCGTTTGCTGTTGTTCATCTTCATCCTGTCCGAGCTGATCTGAGATCAGGTGTTAGGCGATAGTTTAGTCAGAGAGCTTCAGGCTGCCGCCAGTGCAGAGATGCTGATAGTGGCCGTCCTTGACTTTTACGGCCACATCTCTCCATATGCATGCTAAATATCTCTCTTCCTCGCCCTCTGTATGCCTGTGTTTCTGTGTTTAAAGGAATAGTGCACCAAAAATGAATATTTTCTCATGCTTTACCTAGTCTTCATTTCACTCCAAACCCTTTATGCAATTATAGTTAATGAAGAATAGAGCTTTCAAGTGTCGAAAAAGATGCAAAAGCACAAAAGTGTTAATGTTACAGTCCTTAAGTCATCAGATTGCTGGAGCTGAATTGGCAGCATTTCACCAGCACGTTTATGGCCATATGTGTGAATGTCTCTAGTGATTGATGCTTGATCACAGGCGTGCCACTGAAGTACTTTCCTGCCTTTCTCTGTTATTACCCCGCCATCATTCTCTCTCCTCTAGAGTTCAGTAAGTAGGTCTGTGGACACTCTGCGCTGTGGTGTTACTATAGAACTAACCTCTGATTTATGCCTCTTCTTTCTACTGAGCTTATGTTAAAAGGTCTCTAAACTCCAGATGCTCAGGTCCTAATGGTGGAGTCACATAATATCCATTCATCGCTCTCAGGGTGCATATACTCTTTGCTGACCTTTGCAGTAAGTCTTATACGGTGCAGTCGTGTGCCAAGCCGAGCACATCTGCCGGGAAGAGGGCCGGGCGAAATATCCAACATGTATGGAAACTGGATATTAGACTGCAATTAAACTAGTTTCATTCTGACTTGTGAGTATAAGAGAATTAAGACATTTTAATGTCACTTCTGTGAATCGATTCAGTTTCTTTAAATCAAATCTTTGATTCTTTTGCATCATCAGTAAATGTTTGCACAAGTCTGTACATGCTTTTTGTAATTTGTATGTAGGTGAATGTTTGTTACTTTCACATTTATGCATTTTGGCAGTTGCTTTTATCCAAATTGACAAATCAGCATTTTCATTTCATGCATTTTCTGGGAATTGAACCCGTGACCTTGGTGTTGCTGACACACTGCTTTACTATTTAAGCTTTTTAGTATTTATTATATTTAGTGTGCATTTGTTATATTGATGCATAAAAAAGATAAATATTCTTGTGTTCAAGCAAAGGAGAATGCATGAACTTAAAATGACTTCAGTGGGAATCAAACCCATGACCTTAGCGTTGCTAGTTCCATGCTCTACTGTTTGAGATACTAGAACTTTTTTTTTTTTTTTTTAGTATGCATTTACTATATTTAGTATGCATTAATTATATTGATGCATTACAATGATAAATAACTATTTGTGTGTTCATTTGCTGAAAAGCAGTGCTAAAAACATGATTATTTTTAATAAGGGGTTTCAATTTTTGATAAAATTTAAATTAATCATTTTGAATCTAATTGGCTACAAATGACTTTTTCAGCTTATGCATTCCCTGAGAATCAAACCCATGATCTTGGCATTGCTAGCTCCTCTATTGTTTGCATGAAAGATTTTTTTAAGTATGCATTTGTTAAATTGATGCATACAAATGACAGTTAAATATTCTTGTGTTTTTAATAGATTAATTATTGATTAAAATAGTTTAAATTCAACATTATGGATCTAATTGGCTATAAATGGCTTAAAATGTTGCTTGACAAATCATGAAAAAAACAACCTTCAGTTTATGCCATTTTTACAGCATCGCCAAAGACAAAAAAAAAAGCAAAATCCCATCCCCGCTTTTTAATTATGCAAACATGTCATTATTTAATACTCTCTGTCAATATTTGAAGGTCTCATAATTATTATATCCTTGTGATTGAAGCTATGTCTTTTATTTGTTAGCATGTTTAAGAATGCATGTTCTGCAGATTTGGTTGGATTGTGTAGATTGAAAATACAATTAGGGAGTGTGTGTGTGTTTGCTCTCTGTGGGCGGCTCTCTCATGCTGACTTTGTTCGTCAGGGCTCTGTTGCTTGGATTCAGATTTATGCATTAACTTTTCTCTGTGGTTTTGCTGGATGTGAGTGTAGAATTTAAATGAGACTGATCAGTAGCACACACACACACACACACACACACACACACGCGCGCGTCCTGCATGCAGATGTGCACTTACAGTAAAGAAAGTCGAGTTAAAAATTATTCTTAAACTTCAAAAAGTCTGAATCCTACAGATGTCTCTTGATTATCGACTGTGAATGGCACATCTCATCATGCGGTAGTTGAGGAGAGGCCTGTATTTACTCTTTGACAGTGAAATAAGAGTCTAAAGATCCCATGGATAAAGGAGGAACCCAACTACAGAATATCTTTGAGAGCAAAGGGAGCTATTTTTATATTTTTCAACTAATATACATTAGCAACTACTTAGCAATGCCATGTTTAACCATCTAGAACACTTTATGTGCATAGCAATATGCTAAAAACCACTCAGAACAACCTCTATAGCATCATATTTTGCATATATAGTGAGTATTGCATGATCGGATGACAAGATCTGGAGGATCACTCCAGTTTTTATGATCTGATGTTAGTGTTTTAGTCTTTTGCCTGTGTTGCATTCAAGAGCTTTATAAATCTCATCTATAGCATTCAGGAGGGTTTTCCTCTCATTGTCCGAATCTGTGCTTGAGTATTTTAGCTCCTCCCATTCCTCTGCAGTAGGAGGGGTCAGGCTTTTGATTGGCTGCTCTGTTTGATTGACATTGCAGGACTGACGGCAGGTGTGGTCTGCAGCATCAGTGCAGCAAAGCCCTCCTAGATTTACATTCTCACCACAATCTCTCTGCATTAAATATACATTTGTGATGATAGAGAGGCTCTTTGGATTGATTTATTTCTATCTGTAGGTTTTTGCTGACTGTCCTCTTTTAAGTGCTTTTCAGATGATTTTTCCAAACTCTCTCGCATGGGAAATACCGAACGGTTGCAGCTGCTAGCATGCATGGGAATTCCCTGCTTAATAAACATGGAAACGTGCACGCACTCCATTGTGACCTGGATAATTTTAATAACTCTGTCTCCTTTGCTTTGCTGCTGGGAATGAAAGTGAGGGAGATAAATACATCGAGGATCCCTTTGAAAAGGAACATTATCTCATTGAAAAAAAAACAAAAAAAAACAGGTGACTTAATGCGGCTTTTCATCTGCTTTAACGTGTAGTAGGGCTGCTTTTTAAAAAAAAATTATAATATATTTGCTCCAAAATGGCTTTCTTTTTGATTTGATTTGATTTTATCTGATTTTAAATTGAGGATGCACAATTGCATCAGTATCCATATTGGCTTTCATATTGGCATCCTATTCAAAATGTAGTAAATAAAATAATTTATTTAACTTTAGTTAACTATAAATCACCTGGTCATTTTTTTTATTTTAAATTATTTTATCAAATTTTATTTTATCTGATAAATTCAATGTCCACATGGGCTTCTTTCCATTCCATTTGTCTTTTCTTTCTTTATTTTTATTGCTTATTATTTTTTGCCTCAGGTGTTTTTTTTCCCCTCATTATCTTGATCCTCACATCAGGCTTTGTACTAATATTAAGTATTTTCACAGAATCAATCCCATGAACGTACTGTTGCCATCTGGAGTGAATCCTAGTCATGGGGTCTGTATTTTTATACTTATTTATTTTCTCCCTGCTGCTCCTGGATCGCTGCAGTGGGTTTGTTATTATCCAGTGTAATCTGGGTGGATGAATGGTGAACCTGACTGGGAACAGCTCTCGCTTCCTTTAGAATCTAAAGCTACTTTTCTTACATAATTACATTCCAGCATCTGCAATGCAACAGTGGGGTCCCTGAGATCAAAAACCACATTTCCAGTGAAGTACGACATTACACAATCCTGATGCGAGATCACCATGGAAAACTCACTGTTACCATGACGTTTGAGTGTTTTTATACCTCATGCCAGTTGAGCTTGGTTAATGTCAGCAACCTCTGATTTATTTACCTCAGTTGCAGTGATTTATGAGTTAAATAGTTGAATAAATAAACAGTTTTATATCATATGCAATTAATAAATGAATCATTTTTTTCTACTCCAAATACTATTTTTGCTTTGAATAAAATGCTATTTTATTTTCACAAGTATTTTTTCACTCATTTATTTATATAATTTTATTAATTTAATTTTTTACATGCCTATGGATAAAAAAAGCTTTTAAAATGCGATATACATCCAGAAGTGAGTGCGCTGAAGCATCAGACAGACTCAGAGCCACTCTTTGTATTTTTTCAAGTTTTATTTTGTATAGTAAATAGTTTTAAAAACTGTATAAAATACACAATATTGCACATAATAAATCAATTGCACTTTTTTTTAAGGAACAGAAAACATCTAATCATAGGCTACAGTAGAGCTATTGAGAATCACAACTGCTGTGATAC